AAAAGCTTGCAGAAAAGAAGAAATGGCTTGACATTGCTTCTGAGAATGAAAAGAGCAGCTCAGATTAAGAGAGACATGAGTTTGAAAAAGAAAGGAAAATATTTGAGAAATTGAAAAAGGAGTTAGAAGGTAAACTTCTGGATACTTCAAAGAAATTGTCTGATCTAAAGACAGAACTTGAAACTGAATTGAACATGAGAACTGAACTTAAAAATAAATAGGATTTAGTTGCTGATGAAAGAGACCAGTTACTTAAGAAAGTAAAAGACTTTTTAAGTGCTCAAAGCTCAACTGGTTCTTCATCACACCGTAAAACCAGCTTTTATGATTATTCGAGTGTTAAATCTAACAGTTATTCAAGCAGTCCTAAATCAACTGTTTCTAAGAACTATTCTCGTTCTTCAAATCAGTATTATCAAGGRTATGTCATTGGATCACCCAATTATTCTTCAAAAGCTAAAAATGATTGGGTTAATAAAGTTGATTCTGTTTCATCTCATAACTCTGTTGTTACTAATTTTGTTCTTCCTTGTATTGTGAGATATACTAATGATCTGATAAATCTTAGCAAGAGAAGAATTATGTGCTCCACATGCAAAACCACTGAATTTTTCAATAGGAAAAGGTACAATAGATGATATGGAGACAACAGCTATCAGAAGAGCAGGAATAATTATAACAGGTAAGATAACAACTGGTATGGATCTTATTGTATATATGATCAACCTGTTAAGAGTGATAAAAAGAAAACATCTAATAGAAATAAATGGTTTGTCAGTTACAATATTCCTCAACTTGTTACTAACAAAACAGGACCCAAGTTCGTTTGGGTACCAAAATCTATTTGATTTGATTTTGTAGGTGTGTCATTATTGTGCTGATCAAAAAATCATGCCTATTATGCATTAATGCAGGGGGAGTTTGTATATTGTCCAAATATAGTTTCTAAACACAACAGTTTAGAACCCGTGCTGAAATGATTGTGGCTTCTAAACAACTCAGTTCAGAACCCGAGCCAAAATGTTTCCAAATTTTTTATTTTATTTTGAGCTGAAATGAAATATTACTGAAATATATTTTCTAGGGGGAGTCTTTGGAAAAAAAAATTTAATAAATGTTTTTGGCAATTTGAAACTGTTTTTATAGAAACGAGTACATTTTATGAGCATGTATCTTCTGAGATTTTACTTGCATAATTTCTCATCGTACATAATTCTAATACCTGTTTCAACTATTCTTCACATCATTATTATCACGTCTCTTATATGAATATCATTTTCAGTGATAATACACTCGTTTGTAATCAAAGATGTTTTCTGATTTGTTTTTACTTTGATTGATACATATTTCATTATTCTTTGAATATCAGAATCTGTAAACTTGTACTTACCGATCTTCATTCATTTCTCTCACATATTCTGAATAATCTTATTTTTGTGCATCACTCCTTGATTGATTATGCTTAAAACCTACATATCTTGATCAATTTTTATCTGATCAATGGTGCTTCATAGCAATAATATTTTGATCAACTGTTTGTGATCATATGAGCATACTTTCATTTTAGGAGGGATTGAGTGCTTCACAGGAAAACCTCAATGGAATGTCAGAACCGACAAACCTATCCATGAGGACAACCATATCTGAGTGAGCTTAAACTCAAAATGCGTTTATGTGCAGAGCTTAAAATGAAAATGAGAGGGGTAGTTGTTGTGAGCCAAAAGAATTGATGAGAGTTGTTTCAGGATTAAAAGATCAACAGAATCTTGTTCTAAACCTCTAAATTTCGGGCATACCACGAAATCTATTAGTTCTCTATTCTTTGGAGACTAATATTGAAAAAGGCAAAGCTCAAGCTAATTCTTGTCACAATCCCACTAGCTACTCATTTATCTCTTAATAGATAAGTGTTTCAATAACACTTGGGGCACGCAGCTCAGAATCTATCAGTTTCTCATTCAGAGAAAGTTGATATTGAAAAAGAAGGATATATGTCCCCCCTTCAAGTCTTTTTGATCACGAATTGAGCCAGATAAATTTGTGTAGTTCACACGGTTTATCTTTTTGAGTCTAAATAGAAGCATTAGTTACTTTATTTTTTCTACACTACACAAATTTTGTAATTTATGTATTAGTTTGCCGTAACATTCTTAGATATGCTATTTTTWAGCTATCGATGATTGAATGGAAGTCCTGGTGAGATGAACCTCAAAAAGTCTCATATATGAAGTACATTCGTTGTACTGAATATATTTGTTATATTCACAGGCCAATCTTTAATAAGATTGAAAACAATCCATAAGTTGAAATTGGTTACTTTCCCATCTTCTTAATCTGCAAAGATTATACAAGTGGATTTGAAAAGATCTGCTCACAATTTTATGAATTGAAGATATTCGTTGAAAATTTTATTCATTCTGATATATGATGCTAATGATTCTCATTTCATCATAAGAGGGAGTATGATATAATGAATGAAATAATCAATTCTGAATGATATAAAGGGAGTATGATATATAGATCAAAGGGGAGTATGATATAAAGTTTGGGAACCGGTAAAAGACTCAAAGGAGTGTGAATGCAATGACTAAAGATTATTCTTGTGCTACAGTGTTTGAGAGAAATTGAATGTGAAAATTATCTTTACAAGAGTTTACTAATAGAGATTTCTCAATGAGGAACATGTTAATTTTGGGGAGAATGTTTGTGAATTTTTATCTGAAGAAATTCTTTAATGGGGAGAATGTTAGTGAATGTTTATCTGAAAAAATTCTTTGAAGATCATATCCTGAAGATTATTTCAGAAGATTGTTACTGTTATTGTTTTTCATTGTAAAAAAAGAGAAGATCGTTTTTATACTACATTCGAGGGGGAGAATGGTGGAAGATTTTCTCAACAGAAGATTATCTGAAGATCATAAAGCAGAGAACGTTAGAAGATTATTTTGAAGATTTCAAGAAGTCATAAAGAGCTTAAAACATCAAAGTTTAAAAAAGATTCAAAGAGAGCAAATTCTTTCAAGCCTGAATACAAAGGGAGAAAATGTTGGGATTGAATTTTAGAGTTAAATAATATTCGTCTTGAAATGTTTATAATTGTATTTTAGCGTGCTTTGACTTTGTTTGTATTTGTTGACTTTGACTAGAGCTTACTTTGTTTGACCTATAAATAGGTTTTGTCTTCTAGTGATTGAGAGAGAGAGAGAGCTCATTGTAAACATCGTTTAATAATATAATTTTATAAAGATAATAATTAAATATTTTGCTATAACTAATAATTATCCTAGTTATATTTTAGATATTTTATATTCAAAATGAGATTTATATCCCGTATTTGATTATGTTTATCTATAGTTAATTACACATATTCAAAAATGAAGCTTTAATAAGTTGTACTTACGCATAATTTACTTATAATCTTGAATTGTAAGTAATATGCATCAATAAACAATTTTTTATGAAGAAAAAATGGCTTAATTATAAGCGTTTTTGTCAAATATTTATAATATAACTAGAAGGGTACTCGCGCAATGCAGCGAGATACATCTCGATTTTAATATTTCGTTTTATTTTTTATCTCAGTCGATGTTATAATATGGTATTATGTGATTTTGAAATACGACAATGTTTTTATTTTTGAATAAAATATAAATTTGAATATATCATAAAATTTTAACAAAAATATATTGATATTAGTATCATATTAACTATTTAAAATACTCATTTTTATGTAATTTCTTAATTCATTTTTTTTTTTATTATAACTTCATTTAGGTTCAATAACGAAGTAATATATATTTGGTTTAATAATATATTTTTTATAAAGATAATAATTAATCATTTTGTTAGATTTCGATAATTATTCTAATTATATTTTAGATTTTTCATATTTTAAAAATGAGATGTTTATCCTATATTTGATTATATTTATCCACGGTTTGTTACATGAATTCAAACATGGAGCTTTAATAAGTTGTATTTACGCACAATTTACTTGTAATCTTGAATTTTAAGTAATATGAACTGATAAACAGTATTTTGTGCATAAAAAAATGATTTTTAAGAGTTTTTATCAAATGTTTTATAATATACTAGAAGTGTACATGTGCAATGCATCGAGACACATCTCGATTTCAATGTTTCATTTTATTTTTATCTATGTCGATATAATACAGTTTTATGTGGTTTTGGGAAAACAATAATGTTTTTATTTTTGAATAAAATATAAATTTGAAAATATCATAAAAATTTGAAAAAGAAAATATCAATATTAGTATCAAATTAACTATTTAAAAGTTTTAATTTTTTGTAATTTTTTTATTCATATTTTTTATTATGATTTAATTTAACATAACGAAGTAATTTAATTTAGGTTTAATAATACAATTTTTTATAAAGATAATCATTAAGTTTTCTATTAAAACTCAATGATTATCCTAATTATATTTAAGATTTTTTATATTTAAAATGAAATGTTTATCCTGTATTTAATTATTTTTATCTGCAGTTAGTTACACGAATTGAAAGATAGAGCTTTAATAAGTTGTACTTACGTACAACTTACTCGTAATCTTGAATTTTAAGTAATATGTATTAACCAACAGTACTTTGTGCATAAAAAATAATTTTTAAGAGTTTTTGTCAAATATTTTATAATATAATATAGATTTATTTATAATCTTAAATTTTAAGTAATATAAATCAATATAACTATTTCATAGAATTCCAACAATTTTTTCCGCTCATCTAAAGCCCATAGGAACGAAGTTAATGCTCCCACATCCATAATATGAGTAGTTAAAACTAAACAGTATTTTATACAATAAAAAATAATTTTTAAATGTTTTTATAAAATATTTAATATAATATAGATATAGATAATTAAGTATCTACATCAATATCTTATACCAATTCCTTAAAAAATTGGTCATAACCAAAACAAACCGTTGAAGAAGTTGTTCACTCAAATTTTCGATAAACCGACGCGCACCCTTCTCCGGTTCTCCGTCAACGTGGATAAGATTTGGTCTAACTGCTGCTTACAAAGAACCGAAATTTAGGCTCCATTCATCCATGGAGCTTTGCAATTTGTTCTTCATCACCACTCCCGTAAAATCCACATTTCCGAATCTCAAATCTCGTTCAGTAAAATGCTCGGCGGAGACGACGACTCACCGACTCAAACTCGCGGAGTCACTCCAGGACGAGACGTTGAAGATTCTTGAATGGCCGTCTGTATGCAACCAGGTCTCCGCCTTCACTTCCACCACCATGGGCTTTTCGGCTGCTCGAGATGGTCTGCTTCCTATAGGACGGAGCCCTGAGGAGACCCGGAGGCTCCTGGATCAGACGTCCGCGGCATTTGCGCTTTATCTGCCGCCGGATTTCTCTGGAATTGAAGACGTTTCGGAGATTGTTGAGTCGTCAGTTGCTGGTCAGTTGCTTTCAATAAGAGAGATTTGTGCGGTAAAACGGACTTTGCGATCCGCTAGGGAATTGTTTGAACAGTTGACGAAGAGTTCTCTGCAATCAGAAAGGTAGACTTTACAAGTTGATTTTATTTTTTTATTACGCAGACTGTCATTTCGACGCAAGACGATTGTGAGCTTGTGACGTTGCAACTTATAACTTGTCGTCGGTGCTTAGAACGACAATATCTTTTTGCAATCAATTTTTGTTACTTCTTTGAAGTACTTAGCTTATTAATTGCATTCTAGCTAGATTCAGATTAGCATCATCCATTAAGTCCTGATAGTGCATTTGCTTCCAGTTAGAAGCTCTCTGGCTGGAGATGTCATCTAAACTATCCTTAATTTCGTTGATTAACTAGCCTTTTGTCCCAGAATTATTTTTCATAACTCTGTACAGCCTTAATGATGATGATTTATCCCTTATTCCGCTAAGCAATCCAGGACGAAGTAACACCAGATTTCTACTTGTTCTCAAAGACTTCAATAGTTTTCTTGGTAGTTTATTCTTTCACCCAATGCTTATTATAACATTTGATGATTACAAGGAGGAGATCTCCTCCTTCTATGGTGCACTCCATCCCTCCAAAGAAATATATAGGCGAACCATCTAGGTTCGACTACATTGATCCATAACACTACAAGACTGATGGGTGATATAGAACACAAGTCTTAAGTGCAACATAGAAGAGTAGATTATCTTAGAGCATTGTCGTGACTCCTTATTTGTAGAATGTTTCGTGGTGAACCTCTAGACACGTAGCCGACATTTGCATTGCATCTTCATCGCATACTCTGATTTGACAAGCTCGGACCATGATACTTGCTTAGAGAACAAATATTTGAACTACACGTAATCTTAAGGGGTCTACAAAGAAATTTTATTTTATTGTTGGCTGGGTAACTAGGATGGGGTATGAAATGGCAATATTTTTTTTGTTTAACATTAAAAGATTCACTAAAAAGGAAAAAAAAAGGTTAAGACTATTTAGTTGTTGCTTATCCAAATCAAAGCTAGAGTTTTATGAGTGAGGTAGGAAATTTGAGAGCAACCTCCAACTTTGATATATGTAAAGAAACCGAACCAAACCAACATAGCCCAATGTCCCACTTGGAGGTGGGGTCTGTGAGGGGTAAGATATACGCAGATTACTAAAAAGGAAAAAAAGGTTAAAACTATTTAGATTGTTGCTTACCCAGATCAAAGTGAGAGTTTTATGAGTGAGGTAGTAAATTTGAGAGCAACCTCCAACTTTGATACATGTAAAGAAACCAAACCAAACCAACGTAGCCCAGTGTCCCACTCGGAAGTGGGGTCTGTGAGGGGTAAGATGTACTCAGATCTGACCTCTACCTCAAGACTAGAGCGGTTGTTACTGTGAAGACCCTTGTCTTGCGAGAAGTGTGTGAAAGAGATAAAAATATAAGCAGGTGCAAGAAAAATATAACCGCAAGGTAAACAAACTGCATACCCTTGGTCTAACTTAGGGCTCTCTTACCCAAACAAATGATTCCCTAACCAATTCCCTTCTTCCCGACCATGCTATCTACAGATCCCCACCGCTAGTCTGCTACCCTAATTCCGCACCTCCACAAATTCCTATCAAAGGTCATATCCTCGAAAATGCCTAAAGTCTCCATGTCTAAGCTCAGTTGATGAACCCATGTGGCCATGTCCTTAGCGGCCTACCCCTCTTCTATCCGTCGACTATCACACACTCTATCCTCCTCAGTAGACCCGCAATATGTCCCATACGAACATGCCAAACCAATACAATCTTCCCTCCTTCAGTTGGTTTGTGATAGGGTCAACTCCCAACTTATCTTTAAGTGATAGCGAAACATGGTTCTACACAAGTCCATCTAAGCATCCTCATCTCTGCAACTTCCATCTTCCTCTCACGTGCCGTCCTTATCGCTCAATACTCTGACCCATGCAACATAGCTGGTGTGTTGGCTACCTTGTAAAATCTGACCTTCAGTTTTAGCAGGACCTTCTTGTCATGCAGCACCCCCCATGGCAGCTCTCCACTTTAACCACCCCATCTTTATGTGTTGAGTTATTGCATCCTCGACCTCACCCTCCTTTAGAATTATTGAGCCTAGACTATGCTGTTAATTGGGTGCTATTGCGATGCAATAGTGGATTGCGGACTAAGGTAAAATTATGTTGGTCAAATTGCGGTGAAAATTGTGTTTCCGATATTAGCGGCGCAATTGACCGATATTTTAGGTGAAATTGAGGACCGATATTTCGATATTTTAGTTTGGGCCTCCTTAGAACTATGTTGTTTTTTATATTTTTTTGGGCTTCTATTTTGAGGTTTTGACTTGGGGATAATGATGATGATCACGTTGGAGATGAAGGGGAAGATTGGGAAGCTAGCCTAAACGAAGAAATGAACTAATAAATGATGTTGACTTGGATGTTGAACCTATTGCTTGCGATTAGCTCGTTTATGAACACTTTTCCTATTTTGTTTTGTGAAATTTGTGTAAGTTGATGTTTTAATGTTGAAATTATATTCTTAATTAATGCATATGATATGTTTATGTATATACATACACACACACACATATATATATATATATATAATTCTAAGAAATATAATATGAACCGCTATGTTTGGACCAGTATACGACCACTATAACAACTATTTCAAATATCGGTCCTGACCACATTTTTTTTATTTTCACCGCTATAACAGCATAGAGTCTAGATACTTGAAACTACCTTTTGTGGGGTACCCTTTGTCCTCCAATGTTAACTTCCAGCCTCTCGTTGATACGCTCCCACTGAATGATGCTATTCATCAGTGATTTGGTTCCTTCTACGGTTTAGGACGTTAGGCTATGTATGCTAACTTCGACCAAGATAGAATAAATAGACGCATCTACGGCTTTGATGCATACCTTAGTTGGTCATTGTGTAAGCTCTTATTTGGTACATAAGTAGGTCTTTATTTTTGCTTGGCAGTTGAAACAATTTGGGGGAAGCAAATATTGACAAGGATGGCTTGTAAGAATGAGCAAACTGTTTTAAATGCACTATTATGTTCAGAGAACAAATGTAATCATAATTCTGACATTCCATTTCAGTTGTCACATAACTGAACACTGAAGTGCTGCATGACATACCATTTCAGTTTGAAGTAGTTTCATTGGGTATCATCTTTATTGCATAAATACAGGTACTATCCTCTGCTTGAAATTTTTCAGAATTGCCATTTTTTAACGGACCTGAAGAAAAAAATAGAGTTCTGTATAGACTGTAAGCTCTCAACTATACTTGATAGGGCCAGTGAAGATTTGGAGATTATTAGGTCAGAAAGAAAGGAAAACATGGAGAGTCTGGACTGTCTATTGAAAGAGGTATCAACTAAGATTTTCCTGGCTGGGGGTATTGACAGACCAATTGTAACTAAACGTCGGTCAAGGATGTGTGTTGCTATAAGGGCTTCTCATAAATCGTTGCTGCCAAGTGGTGTTGTTTTGAATGTTAGCAGCTCGGGAGCAACATACTTCATGGAACCCAAAGAGGCAGTGGACTTGAACAACATGGAAGTCAGGCTTTTAAATGCTGAAAGGGCTGAGGAGCAAGCCATTTTGGGCTTGCTCTCATCTGAAATTGCACAATCGGAGTCAGAAATTAAGTATTTGTTAGGTAGAGTTCTGGAAGCTGATTTTGCAATTGCAAGAGCTGCTCATGCTCGGTGGATGAATGGGGTATGCCCAGTTCTAAGCTCCAGTGGTTTTAAGAATGTTGGTTTGAGTGGCTCTGGTTCTTTTTCAATTGATATTGAAGGTATACAACATCCGTTGCTTCTTGAGGCCTCTCTGAAAAGTTTGTCAGGTCCAACATCCAAAACTAGTAACTCAGTTATTTGGTGCGAGTTAAATGGAACGATAGGCCACATGTCTTCTGATTCTTTGCCTTTTCCTGTTCCTATTGACATCAAAGTTGAACATGAAACAAGGGTAGTTGTGATCTCTGGACCTAACACTGGGGGAAAAACTGCTTCCATGAAAACATTAGGATTGGCATCTATTATGCTGAAGGCTGGCATGTATTTACCTGCTAGAAATCACGCAACCCTTCCATGGTTTGATTTTATTCTGGCAGATATTGGAGACCACCAGGTAATAATCTGCACTATTTCCTACTTATTCTACACATGCAACCATGAACCCCCAAATGTATCACATGTGAAGTTGTACCTCTGGGGAGGGAGTAGCTTAATCCAGTGCAACTAATTCATTTGTTTTAGTTCTCTGTTCAGTTTCATTAAGTCAATCTAACATTCTGATATCCTCATCCTCTTATTGCAGTCTCTGGAACAAAGCCTCTCAACTTTTAGCGGTCATCTCACACGGATTTGTAAGATGTTGGAAGTGACCACTAAACAGTCACTCATTCTTATTGATGAGATTGGCAGTGGGACTGATCCATCAGAAGGTGTGGCGCTTTCGACCAGTATATTGGAGTATGTGAAGGATAGAGTCAACTTAGCCGTGACAACCACACATTATGCAGATTTATCTCTCTTGAAAGAGAAGGATCCTCAATATGAGAATGCAGCAATGGAGTTCTCTTTGGAGACTTTACAACCTACCTACAGGATACTTTGGGGAAGCACAGGGGAATCAAATGCATTAAGTATTGCTAAATCGATAGGTTTTGATGAAAAAATAGTTGGACGTGCACAAACATGGGTGAAGAGATTAATGCCAGATAAGGCAGAGAAGCGGAGAGGTTTGCTCTTTCAGTCGCTAATGGAAGAAAAAAACAGATTAGAAGTTCAGGCAAAAAGAGCCGCACATATATATTCAAACACCATGAATCTTTATCATGAGGTATGACTTCATGATTTGATATTATAGTTGTTACTATATCCTATTTACCCTTGGTACCCATCTATTGATCATGATATATCCAGTCCTCGATCTTACTTTTGCTTGACCCAATGCCAAGTGGCTGGTTTGATTTCTATGAATTCTGAAACATGAAGCGAATTCCATTCTCAGATCCAGATTTTCTGTAATCATATTTGCTAAGGACATGTTAATATTTTACTTTGTTTATCTTCTTCCTGGTTGTGGTTAGATGAGGTTGTGGTCAGATTGCACAAACAGATGCTGCATTCTTGCACCATATCCGTTTTTTACATGATTACCTGATGCTCTCCAAGAGTTGAAGCTGAGGCCAAATACCTCTTGATTCACTTCCTTTTATTTATGTCCAAGATTTTCTCAGAGCTTCTCGACGTTTCTTGTTTCGAAGACATCCACTATCTTTGATTATGTGAAGTACAGCTTTTAATGGGTTTATAAGGCAATCAAAGTGTGCTTGCTTCTTGTTAGAGATACTATAATTTGTGATACTTTTGCTGCAGTTACCCATCTTTAACATATCTGTCTACTGTTTACGTTTATCCTTGCGAAGATCCGGGATGAGGCAGATGATCTTGCCAGGCGTGAGGAAGCTCTTAAGGCTAAGGAAACTCAGAATATCCAAAGAGAAGTAATCACCGTGAAGTCTCGGTTACAGACGATAGTGGATGATTTTGAAGCTCAAGTTAAAACTGCTGGTATTGATCAGCTTAATGCACTTCTTAAGGAATCTGAATCTGCCATTGCATCAGTTATTGAAGCTCACAGTTATGCCGAAGAATCTTCTGTCACAGAAGCAAAAAATTCTTCTCTTACATTAAAGCTGGGGGAGCAAGTGCTTGTGAGCGGATTAGGAAATAAACTGGCAACTATAGTTGAGGCACCTGGAACTGATGGCACTGCTCTTGTCCAATATGGAAAAATTAGGGTCCGGGTGAATTTAAGTAGTATAAGAGCTGTTCCGAGTAGTGATATGACTCCGGCGGAAAATTCACAATTAAACTTCAAAAAGCAGGTATGTTTCTTTTCTGATTATCCCCAAGTGGATGTGTTTGCTATAGTATAGACTTTATTAAAGGTAACATTTTGATTTCGCATTCATTGACCATGCTTCAACTTTTTGTGGATGATATCAACTTTCTGACCAGGACCAAAACATAAACTAGAATATGTAAAAACCAAGAAGCCACGAAGATGTCGCTACAATGCAAGACCGAACCAAAATTTAAAAGGGCATTTTACAAGTCTTTTTGTTTTCAGTTTTTAAAACCTAGTAAATGTATATGTTCTCTAGAGCACGAGGGTAGGAACACATATGCACGTGATTTTGAATATATCATGTAAATGATGTAGTAAAAAAAGAAGCGGTACGGTTTTGGTTCTAACCGGTTTCAGATGAAACCAAATCAAACTGAATTTTCTAAATGTAGGAACCGAAAACCTGAACATATGTTGCGGTTCATTTTCTGTATGTTAGAATGGTTTTGTCGGTTTGAACCAACTTATACACTGCAGAACTTTTGATGCAGATTTAAAGTTTGAAAAGGAATGTAGTAATATATACGCATTCCTGTTTTTGTGTTTTTGTGTAGTTGGTAATTCAAACATGTGACTGTGAAATAGTGTTCCGTGGAATACACCTCTTTAATAAATACACCATAGTTTAATAGCTTAGGGAAAAAACCAATGATCTAATTTGCAAGTAGTGACAAGGTGAGCAATTTGGGATCAAATCTTGACTGGCAATCGCTTGCAGTTTGGCAAATTGACTTAGACCATGGGACCAACCAGCAAATGTGGTTTAGTTAACTTTGTGGGGTTAGCTCAACTGGCAATAAAGCTTGGGCCTTTGGGGATTCTCCTCGGAGGTCATTGGTTCAAGTCCTGCAAGATCACTGGAGATTTTCCTGGCTGTTCTCCAAGGCCCCTGGGATTAGTCGAGGTGCGCCCAAGCTGACCTGGACACCCACGGCTACAAAACAAATGTGGTTTAGGTCAGTTTGGTCTGGGTTTAGAATGTGGTTTCTCTATTTTGTGGTTTTTCAGTTTAGTCGTTTCTTACTTCCATTGATTTCTGTTTGTTGAATGAGGGATCAACCTAGTAGACCTGGCTGAAATAACTTCAATCGAACGGTGTTACGTCAAAGCAATTTTAATGCAGTCATTTGCAAACAGCTATGCCATGTATAGCTCAGTAGCCCCATGGATTTATAGGCCACTAAATAGCCTTTTCATTTATTTATGCCTGAAAGATGTGTGAAACATTTACCCTTGTTTCCTTGTGATGGACACCCACTGAACTGGTTGCTTAGTCAGCTTACTTTTTCGCCCATTGAACTATTTGTGTGCTTTTTTAGGGTCGGAGGATCAGAAGCCTTAAGAATTTATCAGAGGCCAGCAATAGTAAAGAGGTTTCTTATGGACTAGTGCTACAGACATCAAAGAACACTGTTGATTTACGTGGTATGAGAGTGGAGGAAGCGTCTCACCACCTTAACTTGGCTATTAGTACAAATGGGTCTAACTCGGTTCTCTTTATCATTCATGGGATGGGTACTGGCGTTGTGAAGGAGTCCGCACAACAAATATTAAGAAAGCATCCGCGTGTTGTCAAGTTTGAACAGGAAAGTCCAACTAATTATGGCTGTACAGTTGCTTACATCAAATGAATATACTATATGTAATTTCTAGTTTATATATGAAAGAGAATTTGATAAAAGTATATGGCAAACCGTTTCTAAGATGTACTTAGCTTTCCTCTCTCCTTAAATATTGATTATCAGTGGAAGTTGAATAATTGCAAGATTTGATGTTCCTGTATTAATCTAGACTGTACATGTATCAGATAGTTGTACTTGGCTCAGTACTTGTAATGCAGTCTTGTGAACTGTTAATAAATGATGATATTCTCTATCTTCTTTTTTTGATTAACCTGGATATCCAACCCGCTATGCGAGCCGACTAATCCCTTCGCAGGTAGCCCGGAGTCACCGCATTTGAACCTCCGTGGCCACATGGGGATTTCTATTCCTCCTTGGATTTGAACCTGGGACCTCCAGGGGATATTCTCTATCTTTTGGTTCACAAGGTACAAGTCTTTAATGCACAGGCTGGAAGCAAGTTGAAACACTAGATCCACTTGTTGGAATTGGGGAGAGGGGGGGTTTAAATGGCAGATTCTCTGAAAACTATAAGTAACGGGAATATATGCTAATTCTCTAACTAAGACTGTGAGTCTTCTGAAATTTTTGCACAGAAAAGTTATGGTGGTTTTTGCGAATCTACCACAGCACTCTGAAGGGAATGTGGAATACCGAGGGAGAGGTTGCTGATATCTTCATGTAGGTTTCACTTGACCTGGTAAATCAGCCGTTTCTCCCCTGGATGAGTGTCAAACACATCGAAGGTAACAAATTCTTTATTTTTGGTATGTTTTAATAATGCTTTACTCTACTAGACATATGCAGCCTGTTGGTTCCTAGTAATTTTGATGTCATGATTACCAAGCTATGTTGTTAAGTAACTAAATTACTACAAAAAATATTGAGAAAACTAAAAGTTGTGAGTTTGCTTGCTTGGATTTTTATTAATTATCAATTAGAAACTAAAGTTACTATTTGTTTTACTTTCTTGTTTGTGTGGTAGCAGGTATGTTGTTGTGGTGGATGGCATATCCTGCATCTTTGATAGGTGTCTACCAACCGTCATTACATACACAATGCTTTCGGTTCAAGCGACAAAAGACATGGTGTCTTGCTGAAGCTTACAAAGTATCAAGGGACCGAGCACCTCGTTCCAAGTGGGACATTTACTTTCATTTCTTTGATGCTCAAGCAACAAAGGGTAATTTTGAGATTGTGTTCAACCCTTTTACACATCCAAATTATTTCAATGTACATATTTTCTTGGCCGAAATAAGCCAAAAGCGAGTGGGGAACAGACAACTTTCTAGCGTCAAGTCATTTCCGTAAGCCACATTTGTTGATTTGTTGTTTTGCAAGTCAGGGAACAACTGCTTCTACCCCTTTGGAAGGTCTACATACATCCTACCCTCCCCAAACCTTAACCTTACCTCTCTGTGTGATATATATTGGGTTCGTTTGGTTTGGTCTGCATTTGTTGATTAGGTGTACAGTATAATCACGATATGAGGGCCGTAAACTGGGCATGAACTTATTGAATATGTTTGTAATTAAGCATTGTGGATGTTTGCAGCTTGGTTTGTGGCTTGCTCTGATTATCCAAAATTCATTAGAGGGACTTATGGTAATCTGCACTTTTTCCACAAGGGTATCTATATCAAATGTTCTTTTATTACATTTCATCAATTATTTTGTATTTATACTATATGTGTGTCATCTTCTATCGTTGATAAGTTACCGATATAAAGATAACAGTTCTGGAACACAAGATACAGATCATATCAACATGGATCTGGAATGTTCAAATNCACAAGATACAGATCATATCAACATGGATCTGGAATGTTCAAATTAAAGGCTAATAAAGATAACAGTTATGGAACACAAGATATAGATGACATACTTTGGAAATTTTTATTTATATATATCTAATCAGGAATATGATAAAGATGTTTAAGAAAACATACAATGATTAATGGGGCCTCAAAGCCATGTCATAGAAGTGGGAGCCAGTTACACACCAGTTTTATCTATTAATTGAGTTATGCTTCAACGTCTTTAGAAACTGACTTATTACTAGCTCCAGATTCACCATTTTTGGCCATCTGAGCATCTTTAGGAACCGAGTCACTGGTAGCTTCAAGTTTACCATTTTCAGCCATCTAAAAGGCTTTAGGAACCGAGTCACCAGCCCAAGAATTGGTAGCTTCAAGTTCACCATTTTCAGCTATCTGAGCAGCTCTAGGAACCCGAGTCAGTGACCCAAAAGTTGGTTGTTTTCATTTCACCATTTTCAGCTATTTGAGCTATTTTAGGAACCGAGTCACAGGCCCAAAAGTTAGAATACAATGATTACAAATTCCAAGAATTACAAGGGTTGGTTTCAAAGATCAAAAGTACCAGGAGGTCCCTAATTCAAATCCAAGGAGGAATAAAAATCCCCTTGTGTCCACAAAGGTTCAAATGCGGTGACTTCGGGATATCTGCAAAGCAGGTGGTCGTCCTGGGATTAGTCAGCTCGTATAGCAGGTTGGATATCCAGGTTAATCAAAAAAAAAATTCTAAGAATTAACGATTTCATGGATGAAAAGTCACTTTATCACCGTTTACATCCAATTATACTAAAAATCGACAGAAACACGTACCCATTTGAACGAAATACTCAGTTAGTGTTGTTACTTGTAACATCCTCAAAAGATCATCCTTATTTGTTCAAACAAACAAAAACTCAATGCAAAGCTTCATATATATATACTAGAAGGGTACTCGCGCAATGCAGCGAGATATATCGTGATTTTAATATTTCATTTTATTCTTTATTTCAGTCGATGTTATAATATGGTTTTATATGATTTTGAGATTGCGATGATGTTTTTATTTTTAAATAAAATATATGTTTGAAGATTTCATAAAAAATTGACAAAAGTATATCGATATTAGTAT